TTTACAATTCTTACCTTTAGTCTACAACTCTTACCTTTAGTCTGCAGCTCTTACCTGTACTTTACAATCCTTACCTTTAGTCTACAACTCTTACCTTTAGTCAGCAACTCCTACCTTTAGTCTACAACTCTTACCTTTAGTCTGCAACTCTTACCTTAAGTCTACAACTCTTATTTTTAGTCAACAACTCTTACCTGTACTCTACAACTCTTACCTGTACTTTACAACTCTTACCTTTAGTATACAACTCTTATATTTAGTCTGCAACTCTTACCTTTAGTCTACAACTCTTATTTTTAGTCAACTCTTACCTGTACTCTACAAACCTTACCTGTATTTCACAGGACTTACCTGTACTCTACCACTCTTACATTTAGTCTGCAACTCTTACCTTTAGTCTACAACTCTTATTTTTAGTCAACAACTCTTGCCTGTACTCTACAACTCTTACCTGTACTTTACAACTCTTACCTTTAGTCTGCAGCTCTTACCTGTACTTTACAATTCTTACCTTTAGTCTACAACTCTTACCTTTAGTTGGCAACTCTTACCTTTAGTCTGCAACTCTTACCTTTAGTCTACCACTCTTATCTTGCCTGTACTCTACAACTCTTACCTGTACTTTACAATTCTTACCTTTAGTCTACAACTCTTACCTTTAGTCGGCAACTCTTACCTTTAGTCTGCAACTCTTACCTTTAGTCTGCAACTCTTATCTTGCCTGTACTCTACAACTCTTACCTGTACTTTACAACTCTTACCTGTATTTCACAACTCTTGCCTTTAGTCTACAAATCTTACCTTTTGTCTGCAACTCTTACATATAGTCTACAACTCTTATTTTTAGTCAATAACTCTTACCTGTACTCTACAACCCTTATCTTTAGTCTACAACTGTCAACTTTAGTCTACAACTATTACCTGTATTTCACAGGACTTACTTGTACTCTGCAACCCTTACCTTTAGTCTACAACTCTTATTTTTAGTCAATAACTCTTACTTGTACTCTACAACCCTTACCTTTAGTCTGCGACTCTTAACTTTAGTCTACAACTCTTAGTTTTAGTCAAGAACTCTTACCTTTACTATACAATACTTACCTGTACTATATTACTCTTGAATATACTCTACAACTCTTACCTGTACTACACAACACTTACCTTTACTATACAATACTTGCCTGCACTATATTACTCTCGAATATACTCTGCAGCTCTTACCTGTACTACACAACACTTACCTTTACTATACAACACTTACCTGTACTATACTACTCCTAAATATACTCTGCAGGTCTTACCTGTACTACACAACACTTACCTTTACTATACAATACTTACCTGTACTATATTACTCCTGTATATACTCTACAACTCTTACCTGTACTACACAACATTTACCTTTACTATACAACACTTACCTGTACTATATTACTCTTGAATATATTCTACAACTCTTACCTGTACTACACAACACTTAGCTCTCTCAAAAGTGAAAACCACTGCTGCAGTGAAATACGTTTCTCCTACAACACTTACCTGCTTTCTGACACAAGTAACTGCTCATCGTGAACCTTACCTGTGATTGAATCACTCACAGACTTTTCAGCAGCACATCTCTGACTCTGCAGCAACATTTCTGGAGGATCCTACAGAGCAAAATGAAAACGTGCAAATTGATAAATAAATACATTGAATATATTAATGACCTAAGCAATAAACTAGATCATTGAATAAAATAAAATAAGTGGTTTTTGAAGTATTTTTTATTATGCAAATCTTCCCACATAGTGAGGTAGATATGTGGGAGTGTGTTAGAACAGCCGTTTTAGGTAGGTGTGGCTGACTCTTAACTTTTATAAAGAATATCTCTTTGGATTTGAGACTTTAGTCTTTGCAACTTTACAGATCTTCTTTATGCACCAAGAGCTTGTAACACTCCAAAGAGAAAGAAAAAAATGAAATCGCATCATATGACCCCTTTAAAATGACTGATATGCAAATGAAACCATTAATGCAATATGAAAACGTTAGATTAGTAACGAGCTTCTCATCGACTCACCAGCAGCTGCAGATGTGAAAACAGATGAAGAAAGTGAGTGAAGCAAGCAGCACAAGATTAACCGCCGATCACTCAGTTCAAACATCGCGCTCTGTGACGACATAAATGCTCATAGAACGTTCACGCTAAACAGAATCCAACAGATACTTAAAAACACTTCCTGTTCCCTCAAAGTAAAAAATAGCCATTTCAAAACCGATATAAATAGGCCTATCCTATTTATAAGTTCAGAGGTGCATTTCTCTATAACTCATATACCCCCAGTGAAAATAAAAATAAACATATTTTTGTGTGTGAATGTTTAAGTTATTTCTGGTTAATTATTACTATTAGTGAAATCATAATGCAGATGTTTCAAATCACATGCAAAAAGCATAACCTCTTTTATAGATTTGAATTAGACTGGTTTTCTGCTGTAGGAGAATCTCACACAATTCAAGAGTGATACATCTTTTTTATTGCTGTTGAAATTGAAACTTGCTGATCTCTGTGCTCTAGGCCTACCAGACTTTATATTTAGCGTTTACATGTAAAATTGGTCTAAAATGCTTTTGAATGCGCCTGATGTAATGTATCACAGACAAGTAGCTGAAATGTTGCTAGCGAAAGAGTCAGAAGCTTGAACTTGTCTTGCATTGTAATGTAACTTCAACTTCAAGTACTAAATCAGACGAAGCATGTTCAGTAGGGGAAACTCTTCCTTTTTTTCTGTTGGTGCTAAATAAATTTAGAAAGGTTATAAATAGGTTACTGTGTGTCCAAACAGATTATGATATTCAAAATTATGATAATTCAAAAAATATATAGGACATTAGAAGACTTTTAATGTATGATATTGAATATTTTTATACGTTTTTTGGTACTTTTACGATATTTACTAATATGTCGGACACTAGACTCTTTTGCCTGCGTAATTAACCCGACAATGGCACTGGTAAGGGAAATTTTAGTTTATTGCCTGAGGCTGCATCCACACCACTAGGTGTCAGCATAAGCCAGCACGAAATGTTGATTGATTCCACCAGTAGAGGGCAGCATTGTAACACCAGTAGTTTATAAACATCTGACACTTGCTGTTAACAGCCTAAAACCATAATGTTTACACTAACACAACTTATATATCATTTAGATGAACAATTATCATTACATATGTTATCAAAAGATAATGTGATTGTGACTGATAAAGCCAAACAATCCTTTTATAAGTGGCACCGTAACTTTAAACAAGTGGCAGCAAGCACTAAGTATAACTAACAGTTATAAGTATGAATGGATGTAGAATGGGAGTATAAGTCCTGAATGGAAGATTAATGACATTACTGCACTTTTTCTCCAAAAACTACTATCAGTCAACACTAGCAAAAGAACAGTCTGTGACACTGAATGTTTTGTACCCTGTGTTGAGGTAGCTGCCCTTGTCATTGCCAGGAGCTATGTGACGATTGAGGTCAAAATTCCTAAAATGTTCAACATGCAGTACTAAAAAAAGGCTTTGTCGTGATTCAGATGTCATCAATACATACTGTACTTCTACTCCGAATATCCAGACATTATAGGACAGTCTATGATTTAGAGATGTTGTGAATGTAGCGGCTCATGAGTAAGTCATGGGGTTTTGCAGTAGGGTATGACAGATGATTGTTCATGTCGAAGCAGAGAGAAAGTATGTAAATATGAGTGGGCCGGCATTAGAAGAGGACAGAAACACGCCAAACACATGAGAAAAGGACAGGGTGGGATAAAGTCATTTTAACCGTTTTTGCTGACTTGTGACAAACACAAACTGCAGCAATCAGCATGAATGGGAATTTCTGTTAAGAAACACCATAAAGAACTTTTATACATAAATGCAGATTAGTATATTTTTTAGTGTACTGTCCCTTTAAAAGATCCTAATACAGGATTTGTTTTCTGACAAAATCAGGTTGACAAAAACACAAACTCTATTTCCTTTTTATTGTTTTTAATATGAACATAAGTCTATGTCACTCAGGCACCATGCATTTTACAATGAAATTATGATGAATTATAAAATATATTAGACATTCGATCATCAAAGGCTTTGAAAAGAGAACATTCCATGCATTCTTAAAGGTCAGAAAGTTCAAGACCTCTCAGCAGAATCGGGTCTCCATCCAGTAAAAGCATATCTCAAATATTTAAAGACTGCAAATCACTCACAACAGTCTCATAACGGTCAATGTTGCATACACACCAGAATAAATATCATTTGGAAACATACCAACCCAAACCAAACCTTCAACATTTGGCATCCATAATGTGTAAAAAAGTTTATACAAAAAAATAAATACTACATGTAAGTAGAATTGCTTACCGTCAAATTAATGCACATTTTGTACCATGTACAATTACGAAAAATAGGGAAATTCGTAAATGAACAGAAATTATCATTTGGCATATAGAGTGATGTTTTAATCAACTTAGTGGGTTTAAATGCAACATTTCCATTCAAACATTCAAAATTCAGATGGTATTTTACCATGTATCCTCATATCATTATAGTTATTATTAAACCTCCTATTATTATTTGTACACAAAATAATGATACATACTATCTGTACATACAACACCAAAAGAGAAGAAAACCCACTAGATTTGAAAGCAGAATAGTAAGAAATAAGCAGTTTTGTTAAGATAAGAAGGCTGATTAACAGTCTGAATCTGTTCGGCCTGTGTTTAAAACTTTTATGTATATTATAAAACATATTACAGCCTTCTTATATTATCAATATCCTCACAATTCCAATTTTCCAGCTAAAATGTCTTCCCCACCATCATGATACAGATATTTTTCTACAAATATATATATAAAAAAGCAACTATTTTAAAAGTGATTACATTCCCATGATATAATTATTATATCATGGATAGTCTGTGTTTCTGTATATTAATTAAAAAAATACAGGCAACAGCCAGTATAAAAAAAAGACATATTTCAATAAATCCCTGAGGATTTTTTTTTTTTTAAATAACAAAAATACGAGGCTAAATAGGAAGTGTTCATCTATATACAGTAGCAATAAAGTCTTGTGTGTTATCCACTTTTTCGTATTTCAGAATATTTGTATTGCTGGTGTTCCGGTAGTGTTTTGAGCTTTCTTTATCCATTGTCCTTATTAAATATCTTCCTGATTGACAATACAATCCATTCAGATGCCCAGGTCTAAAAAAAATCTTCTCTGTGGAACCCTTTCTGTAAAACACAAAGCAAAAAGCACCTCGTGAGAGAGTGATGGGCAAATTAGCACACTGGCTAGCATCCCAGATTTGAAGTAAAAGAAAGAACACATTTTTTTCACCCGTGGTGTTCTATGGTGTGTTAGGACATGCTCAAGAGGAAATCACCTGAAATCCACATCGCCAGGGTGTGGCTGAACATCTACCTCCCATATCAGCATGCTTTAAGTGTGTATGTTTGTGTGTTTTGGAAATAAGCAACTCAAATATGAGTGTGTTATTTCCCGCTTGATTATCTAGTACAATATGTTCATTCGAATGTTTGTGTGAATGTGTGTGTGTATGTGGGCTTTTAAACAGTCTTCAAATAACTGGAAAATGTCTAGAGGGCAGGGCGGGAATGACAGCAATCGTGACGTGCAACTGTACTAGTTTGTAATGACAACACAAAGACACATTCTGAGTGTGTTCTTTTTTTCTAAACTCAATGAAAATGACAAAAAAAAAAGTTACATTTTTTACCATTTATGAAGTAATTGTGAATAGTGCTTGGTGTGTAAGTCAGGTTGCTAGGTTGCTATATGGTTGCTAGGGTGTTATAGGTGGTTTCTAGGGTGTTCAAAAGGCTCTCAAATCGTAAGTGTCCACTCTCAAGTCTCTATGATATTCTGGTCTCTAGATATGGCTCTAGAGTCTCTTTTTATGTAATTTTCACTAATTTTCAAAAATCTTAAGTTTGGTCATTTAGAAAAGTGCATGATTTGACAAACCATGTGATTTGAGATCATTCATGTCTGTAGCACAAAGGCTGTGGGAACAAGCTATGCACCAAAGTTAAATACATAGTGTAAAGTTCTCAGAACACCTGAGAAGAGATGATGCCAACCCTTCAGAGGACCTCAGATGATGCCAACCCTAAAACAACATACAGAACTACCACATTTTGCTATAAGTTTGATTGCATCATATAATAATTGCTGTTAATATTATTCATCGTCTGTTTTATTACGTCTTAAATTGATTTTTCCGTTCTGCTGGTTCGTCTGGTCAGAGGAGAACTGGCCGCCCGACTGAGCCTGGTTTCTCCCAAGGTTTTTTCTCCATTCTGTCACCGATGGAGTTTTGGTTCCTTGCCGCTGTCGCCTCTGGCTTGCTTAGTTGGGGACACTTCATTTCCAGCGATATCGTTGACTTGATTGCAAAGATATTATTTAAACTGAGCTGGATGTTGACATCACTGAATTCAATGATGAACTGTCTTTAACTGAAAAATTAGAGTTTATTATTGTCATTTTGCATTATTGACACTATTTTCCTAATTAATGCTGTTCAGTTGCTTTGTCACAATCTGTATTGTTAAACGCGCTATATAAATAAAGGTGACTTGACTTGACTTGACTTAAAGTCAAAGACCACTGCTGTATTTTCAAACAAAACACTGACACCTACTGGTGTGGATGAATTACACAACACCAAACGTTTTCAAATACAATTTGACAAATTGACACATTTTCTGGTGTATTTGTCGTCTATAATTAAAAATGATCTGATTGTAGGTAAGCTAGCAAAATAAAGTGACTTTTATTTAGTTAGCTGTGTGATCTCAAAATGGTGGCCATTATTAGGGGGTGACCTGCTTCATGTAGAATATGCATACAAGTCTCATGAGTGTGTGCGCCAATTTTGAAACAGAATTGTCAGAATACTACTAAAGTTTTACAAACAAAGAATTTTTTAAAATACTTTCCCAAAGTAAATGTGAGTAGTGCTTGCTATGTAAAAGTCGCCTTTACGATGCAATGGTGTTATGGGTGGTTGCCAAGGTGTTGCTATGTAGTTGCTAGGGTGTTCTGGGTGGTTGCTAGAGCTTTGCTATGTGGTTGCGGACTGTCCTAAATCACTAGCTTCCAACCCCAACTCTCTATGATATTCTGGTCCATAGATATGGCTCGGTGGCTCTTTCGATGTAAATCAATGGATGAAAATTACAAACATTCAAGAAAAGGGCATGATTTGACAAGATGTTTTTCATTCATGTCTGTTGCACAAACACCATGCAAATGCACCAAAGTTTAATACTTAGTATTTCGCTTGATAATACAACAGTGGTCTCAGACATTAAACTGACACCTACTGGTGTGGATGAATCAGGAAAGAAGGAAAGTTTTCAGCAGTGTTGCCAAGTCTGTGTTTTTCCCACATAATTGGGCTACTTTTTGGTGCTGCAGGTTGAAGTGAGATTTTGACCTGGAAGGAGGGCTTGACCCTCCAGAATGCGATTTTGGAGCCATTTTCTCCTGGAACGCGACTGGGCTAGTTTTGGCTGTGATTGCGCTAATTTTGAATACCAATTGGGATGGTTTTGTTATGTAGACCTAGCAACCCTAGTTTTCAATTACACATACTAATGTAGAAATGGTTTATTTACTGGCGCATTTGTGTCACATGACTAAAAATGTCTAATAATAGCAATGTGATAAATTTTTGGCTGGTTTGGCTGGTCACTCTATGTAAAATATAAGTGTCATGTAAGTATACGTCAATTTTTAAACACATTTGTCAAAAACCTTTTCAAAATACATTATGTATATAATTTATTTGATTATAATCCTTACGTTTCTGTAATCTTTGTGTAGCTTCTTGTACTGGAACATGTTGCTCAGCACTGTTGCCGCAGCTTTAGCAGCTTTCAGTTTACCAGGGCTAGATGAAAATTGAAATTGCAATGTTAGTTTGGAAACAATATAAATTAGTGTTGATTTTTGTTGTATATTTGGGTGTCTTTTAGTTTTACCTGCTGTCATGAGAGGTCTTGATGCCCACCAGCTTGGGCAGACCATCGAAGAAGGCGATGTCTCGTGCAGCCACCATGCTGCTGGCCACCAGGTTGTTGAGAGCTCCACAGACGTTCACCACCACGTCACTTGACAACTCCTTCTGGCGGCCATCGATGGGCAGTTTGGTAAGCAAGGGATTTACCACCTTTGTGGCTAAAATGAAAGAAATAGAACAATGAGCTTCTCTAAGGCCACAGAAATGTGATGGACTGAAGTTTTGTGGCTAAAGAAGGAAGCCTCACCCATGTCGTTCTTGTCCTTGGCATGAAGGGAGAGGTTTCTGAGTAAGCCGGTGAGAGAACGCGCCTCTAGATTGTTGTCGGTCCTGAGGAGATCCAGAATAACAGGCAACATCCTATTCTGCTCTAATGCCACACGACTCAAAATGGATGCCCACTGAAATATAAAAGAGAAGTTTAATCGTCTTTTTCACGCTAAGTGCTCTGGATTTTTGAAGAATGTTCAACTTTGGGTAAAATGTAGCGCTCATCACTGTCACTTTTTAGTCAGCCGTCCAATCACAGTCGAAGAGGGGCGGGGCAATGACCAATTGTCACACATCCTGCTTGTACTACGACTATGTTTTCAGCAGATCTCCTGGCATTTTCCGCTGGCTAAAAGTGCTTTGGTGAACACACAGCTTAATGTGAGGTGAACCCCTTACCCTCTTGTCTCCAGCTGTGAGGTTCTGCAGGGCTCCGGCCGCGGCCTCTCGCGTTGTGGAGTTGATCTCGCAGCGCTGCAGCACCTGGTTATACAGCTCCACTATCTTAGGGTGCCAGAGCCACTCGATACCTGTGGGCTGCCGTGACACTTCTGTAAATGTGGTGAGGTCCTGATTTTGTCTCTGGAAGAAAAGACAAAATATGAGATTAAGAATGAAGATAGGATCGTTAAAGAGGAAATTGAAAGCAGCTTCTTACATATTTAGCTTTCTTGCTATTAGGGGTGAAGCAGCCGATATCTTCTCCTTTTGAGGAGCTCTGAGCTCGACTCGGACCCTCCAGCCGCAGAAGTGCTGAGGGGGGAATCTCAGTGTACAGCTGATAGGACAGATTCCTCAACACACACACTGCGTTCTCCACACCCTGAGAGAGGAACACACTCATGAATGGCCATGTGAACACACACCTCGCAAGAGGAGGCAGCAACAGAGGCAGAATATAAAAAAAGAGGGTGCTACACAATTACCTTCTCCTCCACTTTAGTTTCCGGCAAGCATTTCTGAATATAGCCAACCAGAGCATCTATAAGGCCACAGGTCTCCCTCATCTGCTGTCTGGTCTTCTCATTCACTGAGCTCAAGTTTCTGTACAAGGAAACAGAAGGATACATAAAAAGCTGAATCTCACAAAAACATTTCCAGATCTTCTTTGACCAGAGAAAAAAACTATATATTATATAAATATATTTCTTAAAATATATATTTTTAATTTTAAAAAATAATTTAAGATTCCATTATTCTGTGGTAAATCTCATTACATTTTCTTTAATCTCGAAAATATATTTTCAAAAATAATTTGCTTAATTGTCATGAAAATAAAGTCACAATGAAATAAATAAATAAATAACAGTCCTTAAAAAGTCCCAAATATAGTCCTAAATAGACCTAAAAATATAATTTGTTTTCTAGAATTTTGTAAAAATAATAGTGCTAAAATTGAATTATTTTTTATAACTTTCCAAAAATAACACTTGTAAAAATATAATTACATTTTCTATCATTTTCTAAAAATAACTGTCCTAAAAATAGAATTAATTTTCTATGGTTTTCAAAAAACCACTGTCCTAAAAATAGATGTCTTCTTTTATAATTTTCTTAAACTAAGTGCTTGAATAGAATATATTTTAAAATAATTTCCCAAAAATAATTAATATATTTGATAATTTTCTTAAAGTGACAGTCCTAAAAATAGGTTTCATTTTCTATAATTTTCCAAAAATAACAGTCCTAAAAATAGAATTCATATTTTATACTTTTCTAAAAATTACGGTCTTAAAAATAGGTTTCATTTTCTATCGTTATCTAAAAATTACTATCTTAAAAGTGGGCTTCATTTTCTATAATATAGTTTGGGTTGAATTTTGCGTTGAAACATGACTCTCAAGTAATCCTGTTCTCAGGTTTACTAGCAGTGATGTAGCTAGAGAGGATTTTCATTCAATGACGTCTGATGAAGTTCCTGCAGGAACAGGAACAAGTAAAGGGGTACTCAAAACTGTCTGTGTGTGTGTGTGTGTGTGTACCTGAGACAGCCGGTGGTGTTGAAGAAGATGTCGGACTCTGAGGGGCTCAGCTCAATGATGTCCTGGTCCCCGGTGCCAGAGAGGGGAATCAAAATCTTCTCTGTCAATTCGGCAAGCGTTTCTCGTGCCAGTCTTTCTTTCAGGTTATCCTTAGAGGACAGATTCCACAGAATACCTACAGGGAAAGAGAGCAGAGAGGAGAGAGAGATAAAGAGAATGAGGAAAAGAGCATGGGAAAGTGTCGTGGGAAATAGATAAGAATTTGAATACAGATAAGAAAAAAAAAACCAAGAGGAGGGAAAAAGTGAAAAAAAAAAAAAATCATAAACACTTTATAACTGCAGCAACCGTTTCAACTCATTTCACAAATGTACAACCTCCTTAGCTTTCGTTATGATGTCATCCTCTTAAATGCCCCCATGTTTAATGGTGAGATTTGCATTGATAGATTTATTCGGTTTATTAGAGTTCCAGTATATCCAGACACACACAGACCACAAGGTCTGACATAAACGTGACTCACCAACCTTCGCTACAGGAGTCCACGAGATGTCATGACGAGTTTGAGCAATAATTAAAGTGGTTTAATTCAATACTGAGAGATCAGTCGACGCCCTGCGTGCAACACATGCAGATACACACATCTAGTCTGATGATGAAAACCTCTACGTCCGTACATCATATCCGGAGTCATTTCATGTCCTAAAAGGACACTGGACCTCACTACCATGAATAAAAAAGTCTTTAATTGAAGGTTGTTCTATATTTTCAACATGTTATAAACATACTGTGAAACTGAATAAAAAGTGTGCATGGCAGATCTTGATTTACTGAAAATCTATTTGAATATCATTCTGTACGGCAAAGTATTGATAAAAAACAGTTTTTAAACTAATAAAAATGTAATGCTTCAGAGAATATTTTTGTGTTATGTATTTGTTATGCTAATTAGAACATTAAAGGACAGATTTATTAACACGTTACATCAACGCAAACCCTCTTTAGGCGTTTAAATCTACTGTCAGGACTTACTAAAGACACGCAGTGGAAAATTAGTGATGAAAGGGCTTGGACCGAGTTATTTTTGCAGCTGACCTTAATGCTTATTCGTTTACATTTACATTTAGTCATTGAGCAGATGCTTTTATCCAAAGCGACTTACAAATGAGGACAATGGAAGCAATCAAAATCAACAAAAGAGCAATGATATACAAGTGTTATAACAAGTCTCAGTTAGCTTAACGCAGTACACGTAGCAAGGGTTTTTTAAATAATATAATAAATCAAATGAAAACAGATAGAATAGAAAAAGAATAGAGCAAGCTAGTGTTAGAGGTATCTTTTGCTTTTGTTAATTGTATAATAAATGAAAAGAAAACAGATGGAATACAAAAAGATTAGTATTAGTATATTTTAAGAAAACATGCAGCAAATGAATAGAGAGCAAGTCTAAAAGGGACAAGTGTTTTTTTTTTAAAGAATAGAATTAGAATAGAGAGTTAGCTTATTCATTTGTAAGAGTTTCCCTTTTAAAGGCTAAATCTGTGGGAGGAGAGTGTTTAAATAAATCATGCACGGTGATTTACTAAGGCTTGTGGTAGTCAGTTTATTGGTATCTATGCCATCATTTAACGCCCCAAAAAAGCATGTCTTAACCCATTTTGTGCCTGTGTTGTTAGCATATTACATGCACCCAATTACCATTGCTAATTTGTGCTGCTCTTGTCACTGTCAGTAGATCAACCATAGAACGTTCCACTCCCACTGGCGCTTTTATGGTCTCAAGCTAATTTGCTCCGTTTAGTAAATCAGACACCTAAATCATTAGCTTAGCAACATGCAAGCTTCAAACTCCATTGGAATCAATTGTGCATCTATATGTGTAGCACATGGAGTTGCTTTCTATGTAGAAGCGTTCCAAATCAGTCATTAATGAGGTTCATTATTAGCATGCGGTCTTAAGGTGAAGGTTGTTTTGTGAGTTTTGTGACACAATGGCGATTATAATGGCATTAAAGTTAAGTTACAAGAACAGCATGACTTAAATGCCCACCTGTGATGTTCTTGCGGAGTTCGTTGTCCGGTTCTCTAAGAGCCTCCATCAGTTTGGGGATCCCACCGACTTCAATAAGGGACACTTTGTTCTCCATGCTCTCATAGATGAGGTTCCTGGTGGCGCCGGTGGCGTAGCGCTGCACCTCTTGACTCTCGCTGGTAAACAGCTGCACCAGGAGAGGAATTCCCTTCAGCTGGTTCACCTGAAAGAAAAAGAAGTTCTACTTATATCGAAAACACACATTTCACTCGAATGTTTCTTCAGACGGAAAGCAATTGTATACCTGTTTCTTTGCATCATTGTTATTGTAACACTCATGCTGAATGTAGGCAGCTCCCAACATCTGAAGATTTTGATCGGACTCATCAAGATAGCTAATGGCAGTTGGCATGTCCAAACTGTTGAGTCTAGGAAAGTATGGAAAATTGGAATATTAAATCAGCAGCTTAGTAACATGCTATCATCAACTAAATTGGAATCAACTGTAAGTCTATCTGTGTGGCACACAGTATTGCTTTCTAGAGCGTTCCAAATCAGTCAATAATGAGGTTTGTTATTAGCATGTGGTCTTCTGTAACTCAATCTTCCGATGAATCGACTTCTCCCTGGTGACGTATGCTGGACTTTTCCAATCATTTTGTCCACATAAACTCTGCCCCTTTCTTACAGTCAACTCAAAATTCAGATCTGACTCCATCCAATCAACAACCGATGGATAGAAACAAATCTACGACCTACTTTTTTTTTTTTTACGATAAGCCATTTCACAATACACAATAAAAGATTGCTACTTCCGTTTCATCGCAGCTTCATGAATTTCTTCCTTGCTTTGACTCTTTGGGACACATTATTAGCATTCGTCTTAAGGTGCGGTCGGATTTACCGATGTCCGTTGAATTTTTGCGGGTGAAATCCAGTCATTTCAATAGGAATCTACATGAATCCGTATGCAGGAAAGTACAACATTTTAAAATGTTATTTAGTAGTGATACTATAAAGTAACACTCCAATTGATTTAACATTGTCCTGCAAAGATAATATTCATTAGCCGTAGTCATAGCATTGAGCTCTGGAGCTCATGTAGGGAATTTGGGTTCGAATCTGGTCTGCGCAGTTTTTCAACCCTGTTCCCAACTTTCCTACCCATCATATCTTACTTTCTTACTTTCACTACTATTAAAATACCCCAAATACTTTTTTTAACAAATTAATTTTCAATGTTGGCCTAAAGTGGAAACTTGAATAAAAAGGTTGTTTCATACTCTAGCTTATCTTAGTTTCTTAACTTGTACTACTTGCATTTTGAGAGTCTGATTATTTGAAGAAATTTTTGCTCAACAGGACATTCCTTCATGTGTGTTTGTGTGTGCTGGTGCATGTCGCTGGAGTGCTAGGAAGAGTGTGTTTCTTTCCCAGGGTGCGTGAAGTGTGAGGTTGCTGGACTGGTTTGGGTGTGCCTGTGCAACAGACTCGCTCTTCACTTTTTACACACATATAGGCAGGGCTGGGCAACACCAAACACATTTATACATGCGCACACACACAGTTAGCGCAACAAGGACAGATAAGCTAAATATGGGTGTACTGACAGGCTGTTAAAGCAAAGTAGGAGTAATTCTACGCTTCAAAGGTCAGCCCTGCACTCACTGAACCTTATGTAACACCAGAGTGAAAAAAAAAATCAATAAAAGCAACTCTAAATTATGATTGGATGAGTCACATTCGACAGCATTGTAAAATAGCCAATATAAACACACATGTGACCACGCTTCAGTTAAACGACTCAAATTTAATTTGGCAAGTTAAACTCTGCTTTGTCTAACAATACCCCTTAAAGTCGGTATGAAATGCAAACTAATATATTGTCTAAATATTATTGATCTTATTGTGACCGATTCATCTTTGCATATATTCCATATCTTAAATATTGTCATTTTAAATAAAAATTTTGTAACTCAATCTTCTGATTAATCGACTTCTCTCTGGTGACATACGCCGGACTTTTCCAATCATTTTGTCCACAAACTCCACCCCTTTCTTACAATAGGCTAAAAAAGGCCTTGACTCGTTTGGGATGCATTTCGCTCTGTATTTTGACACACATGTACGAAAGCACGTGTTCTTACCCGCTCAGGTTGCCCATGCTGCCCGTCATATCCATGCCATCAAACACATCCTTGCCTCTCCCGACACTATGCACGCTCCTGACGGAGCCGGCGCGTGACAGGCTTCCCTGCGGCATCATCGCCAGGTTGCTCTGTGAGTCCCCGCGAGTCGTTTGACGGTTGTTGATTCGGCTGATGGTGCGGTGGGCAGGGCCTTTGAAGGACTGCCGGCTAACGTAGACCTCCTGCTCCATACCGCTGCCTCCGCCACCAGTGCCCAGGGTCCCGCTGAGGGAACGTTTCATGGCCGGCAGCGCCATGGAACTGACCTGCTGCTGTCCGCTTTCAAATCCGTTCATCCTAGAGGTTGAATACATGGACTGGTGTGGGTAGGTGTTGGCTGCGTAGCCGTTGCTCATGCTCTGCATGGAGGCTTGTTGCGTGTAAGTGGCGTCACGCTCTGAAACCAGACTGCCATCACTGTCGTCCTGCACCACCCATGAAGAAACCACTTGGCGTGGCACGGACGCTAAACGCATGGAACGCATCGACAGAGTCTCCGGGTCGCCCCCCATTCGACTGAAGGATCGAGTCATTGTGCTGACCTGCTGCTGTGGAACTTGGCCGCCATTACTTTGGTAACCACTGACTTGGAAACCGCCACCCTGGTAACCACTGTTGCCAAACTCTTCTTGGTAATATGCTCCGCCGCCACCACCACCACCTCCACCTCCTGTGTAACTGACTTTGGTTCTTGGGCCGAAATCAATGGCAGAATGGGACGAGTAACCACTAGAGTACTGGGATGGACGTTGGGCCTAGTAGAAAAGAGAAAACTGCATACTGAATATCTACAGCGCTATCAACTATACCTATCAATTGATTAAAATGTTATCGAATTGCATTTGGCAATTAATTAATCAATACCACTGCTATTAATCACATTGATATTTCCAGAGAAAAGCCCCCGAAATTAAGATAATTTAGATAAAAGCAAAAACATTAATGTGTTATTTCCAATTTGAATCACTTTCATGGTAAAATCACGGTAAAAAAAAAGTACAAGTAATGGAGAAGTTTAACTGCTTTTTTTTCTATCACATTTTAAAATTTTTAATTACATTTTGTCATTCATTTATAAGTTATTGTATTAATTCATGCATTTTCTGTATTCATTTATGCATTTTAATGCATTTTTTAAAATACATTAAATCAACAACTCTACTTAACATAGTATCACTCAATAGGAATATAACTGAAAGTGATGCTTAGAGACTTCTAAACTTGTGATTTTTCATATGTGGTTGGTTAGAGCTGACCTGTGAAATATCACATCTAACTAACACAATCCCCATTACTCATTTTCAATATTTGGACAAGATACACATTATTGTCTTTATGGTGTCTTATTGTCTTCTTTTCTGTTGTTGACTGTTTGTATCATTGATATTTTTATTCTGCGTGTACAGCACTTTGATAAACACTTGCTGTGCTTTATAAATAAGCTTTGACTTTGCCTTTGACAAGTTAGATTTTCTCAGATTTTCCCCAAATGAATGTGTAGGTCTATAGATAGATAGACAGACAGATAGATAGATAGATAGACAGACAGACAGACAGACAGACAGACAGACAGACAGACAGACAGATAGACAGACAGATAGACAGATAGATAGATAGATAGATAGATAGATAGATAGATAG